CACTACTTTCAAGCTTAAAACGCGCCAGAGCCTGTAAACACCGAGGAATTCGTAACCTTTCCCGTGCGATGTGGCATTTATTGTTTTTGTCACCCGAAATCGTGCTGATACCATTCTAGCACTCAAGCAAAACGTAGCACTTTTTTTACCTACCCTAAACAACGTTAAAATGTGCTTAAAACTGTCGTGAGAACACAACTTCACCAAAAAATCAACGACAAAAAACCATGCAGCGTGTTGTTTTTCTTGTGGTTGTGGCATCTACTTTCGCTGCTGCAGTTGCAGCCGGTGGCTCTGTCGTATTCATTGTGGGAAGTAGTTGAGAAAAGCAGCAGCGCACACATGAACAGGAAGCGGACACGGCTTCAACTTCAAGCACAAAGCTAAATGGTTGTTTGGTGATAGTTGTACAAAAATAGCAGTATTCATCGACCACAAGCATCATCATGATGTTGCTACTTGTCACAGATAGTGCAATGATGATGGTGAAGTGACGAAGCTCAAGGTAGTAACGCTACAGAATCCGAAGATGAAGATCAATGCTTAACCAATGATGATGACGGTTGCGGTGATGGCGATGCAGTCTATTGTGTTGGTTGTCAGCCTCACCAGCCTCCACCATTCTCGTATGAACACTTCTCTGCTATCTGGTGGTCATCCTAGCTGACAGTCGAATCTGCCCCAAGTACTTGTTATTCTGGCTACAACGGCCGAGGTGCTAAGTACGCAGATATCTCCAACTAGCTGCAGGCAAAAGCAAAAGCCACGAAGCCTTTGTGGAAGCGGAGGTGGCCTGAAATGTTCTTCCGAAATCAAGAGGGGAATTCGTCCTCCTGGGCGCACTGTACAGACAGCGGGGTACGCTCTACAATGTCCTAAACCTCAAGCCCAAATGAACCCGAAAATTAATTCCGATGAAAGCTTCATACAAACAGACCCTGAACCCTTTGTGAACCTTCATAGAACCCTCACAAAATTCCTGATGCAACGCCCCCTAAGCCCTAAACCCTTTAACACTCGTAGAGGCTCTGTTCTGTTGGGGCCCCCCATGTTTCTCTTTCGTAGTATTCCGTCTTGTAGATGATGTAAATGCAGAACCACTTTACTGTGTCCAAGACTTGGACCCGATCTGGGCCCTTCAAGGAACCTTTACAGAACCCTTATAGATGCCTTAAGGGACCCTTACAGGAACCCCCTTGCCAGGCCTCCTTCGCGGCTTTGGGAAGCTGGGCGGCAGATGCCTCGGCCAGCGCCTCGCCGGAGCGGAAGGAGGGAAAGGGAAAGCAGCATCTCTTGTGTTGGCGGTTCGGGGTTTGGGTTGACGGGGTGGTGAAGTGGTGTAGAAAGTACGGTCTACAAGGGCCAAGGGTTCTTTGAGGGTTTGCAGGAGGTTCCGTGAGGTCTTATCAGGGTTTTTAAGTTTCGTAAAGTGTCATCAGGGCGTTGCCAGGGGTCCATATATAAGGGTAGGGTTCTATGCGGGTTCAAAAGGGTGCTATAACAGTTCTACAAGGGGTGCGGAGTGTTGTGCATGCTAACGAGTGGTTTCTTGCATGTGAACTCGCACAACAAAGGCATGTTGTAGATACATGCATGCATGCACACATACATACGTACATACATACATACATACATCCATCCATGCATGCATGCATGCATACAGCATACATACATATATACATCCATGTATATATATATACATATATATATATACATATAGAGAGACATGCACACAGAAGTTCATATACGTATGTCTACGTGTGTGTGTGTGTTTGTACATATGTATATGTACATGTAAATGCATGTGTACGCCTGCATGCATGTGTGTGTGTGTGTGCGTGTATATATATATATACATATGTATGTATGTACGTATGCACGTATGCACGTATGCACGTGTGCACGTATGCACGTATGTATGTATGTATGCATGTATGTATGTATGTATGTCTGTATGTATGTATTTATGTATTAATGTAATTATTAATAATTGATGTATTAATGTGCTAAAGCAGTAATGTAGTAATGTAGTAATGTAATGTAGCGCAACGTAATGTGATGTAATTTAATGAAATGTAATGTAATACAATGTGATATAGTGTAATATAATGTAAGACCATGTAATATAATGTCATATAATGTAATGTAATGTAGTGTAATGTAATGTTGTGTGCGTGTATATATGTATATATGTGTACGTGTACGTGTATGTGTATGTAT